CTCCAGGCGCTGTCAATTTGGACAATTAGGTGGCAGCTCTGGAGGCTGAAGGCTGCGAGGAGGCTTCAAACAAGCCAGGGGCGCACTGGTCAGTGCTGCCCATGGGCAGCTCTTACCTTGAGCGGTAGCTGTCGGTTACATCGCACGTACGTGATTCCTTGGAAATGCGCACCTGCTCGCCGCGCATCTCCTTTGACATGAACTTGGCGTTACGCTTAACAGAAGCTGTACAATGTCACTCATAGCCGGTGCTAGACAGACGGCATGCACAGGCACAACTTCTACACTATGTAACAGCTGACTGATGCAGGATTGGGTTGCACACTCTCCGGATGGGAGGCCGTCAAGAGCGCGGATCATGTGGGCGCCGATCGTCGCATCGCGACCATCTCGATGCGCCTCTCGGGCGCGCCCCGAGAAGACAAGACGGCGGATTGGGCTGCGTGGGGGTGATTTGCGCTGGGGCATGTGGTGAAGCTGTAGTGAGGGTCGTCGGGGGGTCGTGGGGGGGCCCATGGGCGGCTTTCACCGCCCAGGGAGGAGCTCCCCTGTGCCCACCATGCTGCGGATCGGGGTCCCTTGCGCCGTGTGCGCAATCGCGGTGCTGCTTGTCGCCGCGGTGCCTGCAGCTTCATGCAGCGATTCTTCTGGCGGGTGTGGGATACTCAACGCCTCGGGGCGTGAAGGTACAGCAGCGGAAGCGTTGCGATGGGTTTTGTGTCAGCCACTCCCATAGCACCAGGACACCCGTATTGCTCTCTCTAATTCCGCCCGCTGCATGTCAGGCCACTGTCGCTCGGCCGCGGCCAAAACTTTTCGACTTTGGCGCTTTTGACGCCACGGCGTTCGGCCATCAGGAACGCTGAGGGGCGATCGCGAGGGGCTCGGGTGCGGGGAGTTGTGGCCTGCGGTGGGACGGCGTGTTGCCGTGGAATCCGGAATGTAATGTCAGGCGCCTCCATGACGAAGGCATGACCATGGAGGTGGCCGTGGGCAGGTGCCGCTGCAGGATGGGATTCCTGTGGGTACAGACGCGATTAGCCCATGCACCACGTGGTAGCGCCGCTGTTAACGGTGTCGCCGCTGGGTGCCCTGCGCTGTCGCTCACATGCTGTCGCCTGGTATGGGGTACTTGCCCAACACGCGATGTGGTGTCCCCACACCATACGAAGCGATGCGTCCCCTCGACACACTACTATGCCTCCTCGAGCCGTGCCTGTGTAGTTTTATTGTTTTTAAGACTTCTTCCGTTGACGGTCGCGACTTTTGATGAGCAGCAACGTTGCACCGTCCAGAGTGGCAGGCAGGACAATTGTCCTGGGTGGACTTGCAAGTCCAGACAGTCCTGCCAGGATAGTTCAGAGTGGCGCGAGCAGATAGGAAATGTCCTCCCCCTCCGTTGCAGAGAAAAAATAGTGGCCACATCGGCGAATACCCGAGACAGCCGCATCTCTCTGATGCTGGACGCCACACGTTTCAATCGCGTCAGCGACATCGTGCAGGGGAGTTGCGCGTGTTATCCAGCATTTCGCAATGCGAGGGCAACCAATTTGTCCTCTGCATCAGTGAAGTTACTCCCTGCTTCTCTGCAGGCCATGAAGTTGGCCGTCCAGTCCGCAGTCTTCTCCAAGACAATGACGGTGACGGCGGCGACAACGGCGATGAAGGCGACGACGATGGACCCGCCCCTCCCCCTCCCCCTCCTCCTCCTTTATATGAGACTTACTTTATCTCGATTTATTGATTACATATTAGGCTGATATAATGCTTTTAATTTCCAATCTGCAGCAGCCTGAACTATTACTAAAGGGTGGAAGTTGTTATTCTTGTTGCAGCATTTTTCCGAGCTTTCCAATCACACCTGTGCAACCAGAATGCAACAAGAGCAACGCGTGCACCCGAAATACACTGTCCGAAACTTCCCTTGCAAATTCTAATCTGAAGAAGAGTACAGAATGTCGATTTTGATCAGAGAAGAGTTGACTCATATGGTACTTGGTGGGATTCTCCGACAAGGAGACCCATAGCCCGCTTCCTACGCACTGTCATTTTCAATTCCTCTTTGGACTTCGTTTTCCATGTGATGCGCTGTCTCATTGAATTTTCTGTGCCTTGAACAGTTTTCAGGAATATCTCCAGAACCGGGAGTATCAGTATGCATTTTTGGTTGCGTCTGCCACAATATTGCAAAGCACCGCCATATAGCGGTAAACGTGCATCTTTAGTTACAAAATGAAGCTGCATCGCCTTGTGCAGCGTTAAGTGGAATCCCGCCTGGTATGGCTCCAAATGTGTTTTTCTGTGCGCAAAGTCATTACTGTGCCAAATTGTTGGGTTTTGCAGGGTCGATCCCACCGCTTGTGGCTGCTACAGCAGCAGTAGGTGCGGCAGCTGTGGGAGCTGCGGCAGCCATCGCAACGGCGCCCCCAATTCAGCCTGCCGAGAACACAGGCGCATTCTCAGTGACCCCCCTGCCACCCCCAACTTTGGCAACAGCAGCTGTAGTGGCCGCTCTGAGCAACAGCATTCTCGCTGGAGATGTTGCCGGCGCCGCACAGGTGCTGATCGACTCCGGCGACATCGCCGGGCTGGTGCTGGGTCTGCAGATTCCTCCAGGCATCGACCCATCTCCAGGCGGTGATCGCAATTCAAATGGGGACGTCGTCGCAATAAAGGCCGTAGCATTGGCGGCTCTGACGGCAGCTGGGCTGGAATCGAAGTTGACTGAAGTTGTTTTCCGTGCATCCGTTCTCCCATCTCAAGAAGGTCTGTGGGCGGGGGGCAGATGTTTCCCGGCTGATATGGCAAAATGCTGTGCTGTACAGCCAAACATTTCTGGAGAGGTGTTCCGTAACTGAATTTGTAGTGGATTGCTTCTTCAGTACTATCGCACATTTTCGAGAAATGCGCATCCCGAATGTCAAACAAATGTGCACGATAATGGTCGACAACATGCTGCCCAATTTGCTGCGTGCAGAGATCGCTGAGGCACAAAAATACCCACGTTGTGGTATCTGAAGTTTTGGCATTAATCTTTCAATGCACTATTGAGTTTTTGTGTTGCTTGCAGAGCGCACAGGACTCACCCTGAAAGCGAGCGAAACCATTGACGACATATTCGCCAACCTATCGAACCAACAGCTCCTGCAGTCGATCCTGAATGCCGACGCTAATACGGTATGTGAATTATATACACGCGCGCCACAGCTGCGTATCGTTGTACGCCGGATACTGGATGGTATTGTGAAGATACTATCCTAGGGCTTCGACCACATTCCCCCACCTCGTGTCAGCCAATGTCGAATCATCGCTGCCCAAACATCTCCAAGGCGAGAAAGACAGTTTTTACAGATCATTGATTTGCTCCAAGAAACGTAACGCAAGAGAACCAAAGGCGGACGCCAAGGTGCTCTCCCGGCCTTGAATGTTGTTGTTGAATAGATGACTGCATAGCATAGAATGCACAACAGCGAATACAGGCCACCGACTGTAAAGTATGCACAGGTATATGATCTACTTCTGTGCACTCTGTATTCCAGACGGCATACTGTCCGAAGCAGTCACCCTCGTGAATTGCAAGGGAACTTTTGGCCAATTTTTTCAATAGACATACCTGCATGCTTGTGGCTTCAGCAGTTTATCAACCACTGAAATGCTGTGATGATCACGTTTACACTCAAGTTGATATTGCTACCCCACAGACGTTCAGGAAGCGCCTTCGGCAACTGTTGTGCGTCGACTGCTCGGACTCCAGGAGTTGGGTGTGCTCTGCATGCTGGCCATCGGAATTCTGCGTGGCGTTCTGGTTCTGCAAAGATTTCTTGAATGGGCCTCGATTGGTGCCCGTCTCGAGTTTTGAAACAACAACAACGCCACTCTGAAACGACGGGGTGCGCATGGCCGCATTATTGCGATCGCGAGAAGGGGAAGTGTGGGAGAGGGAGGCAGAGTTTTGTGTGGACACTGATAGTAGAACTTTGCTACATGCGCCAAGTACAAATATGTGAGACGACCTTTTGAGACTGTGGCGGTAGTACTGCTCTTGTGGGACTAGTCCTTGGGGTGTGTTAGTGAATTGGTGACGCTGAAATAGTTCGCTCAGTTTTTTAACCTCTCTGATTGCAAACGTTGCCGTACTCCTTGCAGAGAGCGTGTCCTTCTCTAGTTGCGGTAATGGGTGTGCCCAATCAACTGATCCACTCAAGTGCGACCGTTCAACATGGGGCTTGCTTAGTGCTAGGGACTCAATGTGAGATCGCATTGATTCACGACGATCACAGGCTCTGTGCGGGTGCATAGGGCGGCTGACTCCCCTTGAGTCCTTTGCGAACAGACCCGTCTTCTTGCAGATGCAGTGGGGCCATGCAACACGGGCCCTTTGTGCAGTGCTTTCAAGTGTGTTTGTCTGTGAGCCTTTGCTAATAGGCAAGGCACCTTGCAAGGCGCCAGTCAATGGCTGGCTGACTCCTGATCCATAGGCTCCTCCGTTCTAATTTGCCCTTCCGGCCCTCTGTAGCTGGCAACCGCAAGGCGTGCGGCCATGACTGCGGCCTGCCGCTTCATGTTAGGGCAATCTCCGGGTTCTTGTTTCTATTTTTGTATTCAAGCAAACATTGCATATTTGTGCACAAGCTGCTGGACGCCTTCATTTCTGTGCCAGTTGGCGCATTTCAACGTTGGGCCAACGCAACCATGTTGGCACATTGTCACTGCCCACCTGTCAGGTCGCCGGCTCTTCAGGAAGGTGTATGCCTGGCCCTCAGAGAAAAACGACAAAGTTGTGAAACAACAGTGATCCACACCCACTCCAGCGCTGGCACTCTCCAAACTCCCTTATGTGCTCGAGCCTCAGCGTCCTGTACAGATGGCGTTGTTTATGTTGTTTACTGTCTCACAGTCTAATGTACAGATTCTCCCATTATTCCACCACCGCAAACACAAACGTCGACCGTTGCAACTTGTGTGCGCTTGTTGCAGCGATTGGAGACGCGCCCCAACTGATGAACTACGTGCTCCACAAGTGGTCGGCAGGCTGGGGCCTGCCGTCGCTGTCGGTGGGATGCATCCAAGTTGAGGTACGGCGGTCTTGCGCCCTCGAATCCCGCTGAGGGTCGCCATCGCTGGCCAAACTCATGGGCCCGTTTGGACGCCCAGGCAGTCCTAAGGTTTGCTGGGCTGAACGTCTACGCGCAACACAGCCGCCTTCCAGGGAGCTCTCCTACTGGTAAGTCTGCAGGCTGGCATTTGTTTCACGTTTTGATTCGACCTGTACGTGTGTGGGGCCTGGTGGCAGTGACGTCCCAGCCATTCTGTGCGCCGTTGTTGGTTCTCCGCCCGGTCGTTCCCTGCTATGTGTTGCGTACGCCCGCCGTTTTTATGTGGCGTCCTTCACCCATTCCTCCTTAAGATTTCACGGAAGCGACCAGAGAGCTCTGATCTTTCATCTGCGTGGATCCCCCAATGTACCGGTGATGACATGCAAACCAAACCAGCCTTCTTCCGCTATCGGAACTTCCTTCTGTGCCAGACCGTGCGCATTGCTGTTCCATTCTCTTTGATGCCTTCGGCCCCCGATCGTGCCCAAATTCCCACACTCCATTTCCACCAACTTTCCTGTCAGGCCAATTCCCAGCGCTGGAGCATGACAACGACCTCGTAGGCGCCCCTGTGGGCACTGGAGATGAAGGCGAATTCGATGCAATGAGAGCAGTCATGGAGTACATCAAAGGACAGGGGGAGGATGTTGATGGACATCTTACCAATGCCCAGAGAGGAGAGCTTGCTGGAATGGTGGCACTGGTGCAGGTGGCGCTTGAGCCTGCCACGCTGTACACAACCTGGATTGAGCCAGAGGGCTTCAAAAAGTATCAGGTACTGGGGCGCAGAGGAGGACAGTGGGCGATCATTGGATTTGGCACACTCTTGTTTACTGTGCCACTTTGTTGAGTTTATTCCCCACCATTGCTTGTGATGCTCCTGGGTAGTGTGTGGATCTAGGTTTGCAGGGACACAATTTGATGTTCCTTAGCCCAACATGGCCGTCAAGGTGCAAGAGTTGGGATTTGGCGTGTTCTGTGGGCAAACTGTAGTCCTTGGAATTGGATTGTTTGAGGGATTGCTAATGACCTGTTTCAACTTGCCTGTTGCAACTCGCCTGCTTGAGTGCTGTGATGGGCATCTTAGAATGTCCAATAGAAGCTATTTGCAGAACTGGCAAGACCAGGTTAACAGCATTGTTGTGCAGAAAAACCCTAGTGAAACCGATGAAGGGTTGCACACTCTATTTCCAGTTGCACCACTGAATGAACCAGGCTAAACCTGCTACGAGGAAGTGAACAAACATTATTCTTACATGTTTTCAGTGCTGCTTGACCGGGTGCAGCCATCACCCACTCATCAGCAGCAACTGTGTGCGGTTCAGCATGTGCTGCATCGCTAGTTAGGTCGTGATATTGTCTTTGTGCTTTGTGCCGACCGGATGGAAGTGCCAGAAGGGCTGCTCTGGCCACTGGCTCTATGCAGCACCCTATGCTGTACGAACCACAATTCAGATTTGTCAGTTCAAACAAATGCACAAGCCCAAGAGAACAGAGGGAGCATTGGAAGCTGTTGGTCCTGATCTAGGCAAGTGCTGAGTGATGGTCAAGGTGGTCATTTGGCTAGCCTGGTGTTTAGGTTACCACGCACAAACAAGCAACCATTGTATGGCCCCAATTTGTGCCGAACCAATTGGAATGGAACAATGACCAATGGCAAGGCCACTTTCACAGCACATTTCCAAACAGCGCAGTTGTATTGAACAGGTGCTGTGGGCTCGAACATCTGATTTGACCTCGCCCACCTTTTGTGATGTTTGACACCTGTGTGCCCCTCTATCTGGTGGGATTGCAGAAAGCATACAGTGGGGTGCTCCCATGGCCATTGGACCATGTTGTGGCATGGGAAACAAGACGAGCGGTGGTGAAGAAGCTGGAAGGGATCTCACCGCAAAAGGTCGGCATTATTCATCAGCTGAGCAGAAGTTGATCAGTATCCACCATATCCGCATTGACTGCAGGGCTCACATGTGTTACTAAACTCTGTGCCAGCACCAGCAATTGGGCAGGGACTGCTAGGTGTTTGTGTAGTTGATGATGGGTGACGTTTGCGCTTCCACAAAAAGTTTGATGTGGAATCTAGAAAGGTGTTGCTTTTCTGCGTCCAGAAGAACTTTTGCTTGTCAGGCTGCACTGTCTATTAATCCTAACTGTTTGCATTCTTTTGAAAACAGCTTTGAAATTTCTATTCTCAACAGGATTGTTAAAATTTGTGTTTTGCACCCCCAGATCTTTGAGGAAGCAGTTGCGGCCATTGAGAGTATTGCTGACTTCATAGAGGGCCAGCAGTCAAAGGGTTCCTATTGCTTTGGTGACCAGCCCTCCAGTCTTGATGCCCTTATGTATGGACATTTGCAATATTACAGAATGGCACCAGTTGCAGCACCAATCCTGCAGAGAAAGGTGGGGCTGATAATCGCCTTTATGGATTCATGTCCTTGCTGCTTGTGTTGTGTCACACTCAGACAAGTCTGCATCATCTTTAGAAGAAGTGTTGCACGTCATGATTGGTGCTCAGCAGGAATTTCAAGGGTAGCAGGGATCTTCTTGTTATGATTAGTGTTCTTAAAGTGTTCGCTGCCAAAACACAGCTACTACACCATGCTATACACTAAAGCACTGGTCAGGAAATCTTGTATGGATCCTGTTGAGTGAGATTTTCCGCAGGGGTTATTATATTTGCACCATGTACCAGTCATGCCCTTATTCACCTGCCCATCTGTGGTAGCCCCTGACAACCCCATGTGAAGGGGATGGGGAGGAGAAGAGACAGGAAGATGGACAGAAGAACCAATTTCCGCACATAGGATCCCCTGCTCATTCGCTGCCCCTTGGGCCGTCCTGGGAATGCAAATCGTTAGCTCTGGCCCAGCTGACATCTCAAGCGTTTTGGCATCCGATGTGTACTTTGAGTTGAAAGTTCACTTATCGGTTTTGGGAAATTGGGTGTGGTGCTGAAAGCCGGAATGTGCTGCTGTGTACTGTACTATGTTCAGCATTTCTGCAAATGAGGCGATGCCTAACCAATTTTTGCGAAAGTGCAAAAATAGCAAAATGGCACCCAAAAAGGGGAAAAACACAGAAGAGAAAACCCTGTGCAGAAGAAAGCAACGGCAATATGTCTAACACACGTCACAACTCTTGGGTTGGCACACTGTCACTCATGCAGTTGTGGGAGCTGGTGGTCCTTGATTAAGGGCATGAAGGGATGAGCGGGATGCCACAACTGTGGCACTTTTGCTTTTGCAAATTCTGTAGAAATGTATATTGCTATAACACTCACAGTGCGGTCGACCCATAAAGAAGGCGACCTCTTGGTCGTTCCTCGTTCACAAGGTTGGCAGGAGCTATGCAGAATGCAGAAAGAAATTGGTCGACAATGTTTCACCATTGTGTGGAAGACAAAGCCCCACAAATAGCAACACAAAACTTTGCAAGTGCAGAAGGGCTACATATAGTATGGCATGTTGTAGTTATTTGTTGTGTTGCAGTGTGTGCACAAATGCACTGCGTACTTTGTGGTGCAGGAGGACAGGCCAAACTTTGGTCTAGGACTTGTGCAATACCACAATACTGCGCATTCATTGGCAGGGCCTCTTCCATAGAATTGCAAGGTAAACCTGTACACAGGTAGCTTTAAATCACGTAGTTGTTGTGCAGGTCACGGCCAATGCATCGCTGCTTCGATATCTCGACAGCATTTCATCGCGGTTCTTTCAGGAAGAAGCTTCACCCCCTCCACCAAGGATCATACCAGAGGAGGCTGACGAGGAGATTCTGTCACGATGGTCGATGGCAGCTCAGGTATTGTCTTACACCAACGAGCAACCGGCAATCTGGGGCTCAGTGAAGTCACTGAAATTTTGTTCTACTTGTAGGAAGGTTTGATGTTGGTGCAATCTTCTTGGCGGGCATATTTAATATAGGCTCAATTTGCCCTTGCATGGAAGGGGCGATGTTGGGTGGCTAGTGGGGCCATGTTCAGTTCATACATATCTCCATGATGTTGAAGGTACTTCAACTGTTGCCTAGAGTGCAGCCAATTGATCCAGACCAACCTTCTTATGAGCCAACTTTTGATCATACATCTCTCTTAGCTTCCTACTGGTGCGCAGATTCACCTGGTGTTTATCTCAAGCATTGCTGTGTTGGAACCTTCCTGTTCATGAATTGGTGTGTCCCTGGAATTTGCTTTTGTCATCACCCACCCCATCACATCCAAGAATTGCTCATTGCAGCTGCTATTGTGGTCTTTGCTTGAAACTATGTGCTGTCAAGTTACTGTTGATCGTGGTTTGATGTTTGAGCGGCTTCAGTTTCATTTTAAAAGAATGCATGATGGGCACAGTCCACACTGCTTTCACAAGTGCTCAATCCTTGTGATTATACTTCACACGGCACCACACTGTGCTTGTGCTGTATTGTTGAACACATGGCCTTTCCTGACAGAGGTGCAATATGGAATGCTTATACAGCATATCAAATACAGCTTATCCAGTGCCTGTTGTTGTTGTCATTCATTCCAGTATGTGGAGGATCACACTGAAGATCATCATTCCTTTGTTTGGTATTAGAATCCTCTACAGGTCCACAACATGGATTGTCTCAATTCTTGGAGACTCTCCGGCCAGTAGGCAGGCCAAAGCTCAGCAGAAAACATGGCTTTTGTTTTGTGGCTGGAGCATGTGCAAGGAGAAGTTGAAAAGAAACTTTAGCAGTGGTCAACACGCTGGAGCGACACCATGTCTGTCATGCTGCTGGTGTGGTGTGTTCTTGCCGTGGCCTGGAAGCACTACTGATAGAACCCCTGTATTCGCTTCAGGGTCGCAGGAGTGATGTGCCCCAGTCATCAGATGAAGGTGGAAGAGAAAACGTGCATTTGAAGAAGACAGCCAAATGGTGGCTAGCCTTTGCCGGAATCATGATGGCTGCATATGCCTTTTATCATCCTCCACCCATTCGTGTGCAGTACACAGATGCGATGCTGGATGACGATGAAGATGATGATGTTGACAGCTAGGAGGGATGGTCATATGGTGGTGGGTTGCGGTCGCATATGGGACTTGCCACATGGCCTGTTTGCCCCCTCCAGAAAGTAGGTGGCTTGTGGTGCAGGAAACAACTGTGCTTGGGCTGTTGCCTTTCCTGGTACTAAATGTTCACCAGCCCACAAGAAGGCTTTTTGGGTCCTTCAGGCATGGTTTATGTGCAGAATCTCGTATGCTGTTTTCATCTACTGTGAAGTGCCTAATGCATGCTGCTGGTACAGATGTGCTGTTGCTACATGCAATGCAGCACATGTAGGTCACTGACACAAGGCAGCCCCCAGAGCCAACTCTAAAAGTAGCAACACTCCTCAACCAGTTCCACCTACCTGAAGTGGAGGAATAAGACATTGCATTTTAACTTTTTGAAACACGATTCTCCTATGGTGGATTCACTGCCCCAAATCAAATTTCTGACCAGGTGTCATACTGCCATGTTCAAGCCAAATGCAATGAAGCAATGCCGGCCTGATTCCTGTTGTATGTGCTTTACTAGGTGGTGCTGGTCTCAGTGCTGGTATTGTGGTACTATGAGATAAAGCTGATGCGGCTTCTTCACCTTGCCCTCTCGACTTCATCATCCCATTGTGTTGCATGCATGTGCCACCCCACCCCCGCTCTGGCACAGTTCTCCATGGAGGCATGTCTTCCAATCAAATTGCTATTTCTGGCTGAATTCTGCACTGGTTGGCAGGGTTGTCAGGCATTTATTACGCATAGCCATTTGGTAGGCCAGAGAACATTCTGGGTGCTCTTGCTTAAATGTGCTTTTGGTGCAAGCCCATACATTGCTGGCTGCAATATTGGGCCACTGGAGTATCAACCAAGAAGGAACGGCAAAGTCTTTGTCCGATTCTTTCCTGGGATTGCCACCATTCACATAGGGAAAGTTCATTGGCATTTGAAATCATCAACAGCCATTGGGGCAAGGATGCAAGAGGGTTCATTGTTTCCTTTTGCAATAACGTGTGAGCAGAAGGGAATCTTACCTGGTACCTCGTGGGAGAATGCCCTGGAATTAGCCAATGGTCACGTACATTATGGTGGCTCATCCAAGTAGTTACGTTGTGAGCTTTGAGAAAACAATAGTGCTGTCACCATATTACAATTGTGTCTGTCTTCATCTTTTGGTTGTTACAGCCATGTGTATGCTCAGGAGATGAAGATGTGTATTATTGGGGGCAGTGCGGTCCCTGTCATCACTTGGCATGCTTGTGTGTCTGCTGGCTGCCATAGAATCATTACCATGGCATTTGGGTCTTCATGTATTGCAGTTGCAACAGCTCAGTGAGCGCCAGTGCTGGCATCAATTAGATGCACACCTGCAAGTTCTACTTTCCTGGTTGGGCCTAAGTGCATTGTGTTCTGATACCAACCAAAAAGCAAGTATGGAATTCGGTGTGCATGCGATGTGCAATAGAGAAAGTCCTGCACCCTTCCCAAGGCAGCAAAAGGGCCCAAAAACCTATCTGCCAGTAGAGCGCGCTGTCATGCATTCAGTTGCTATTGCAACCAATAAGCACCCCACTACAAGCCCCCATCTGGCCCCAAAATTGCAACCAACTCGAAATATAAATATGGATATTAATTGTAGATGATTATCCATTGTGACCAGATCAAGAACTCTGGTGGCTTCTTTTTGTCCCCAGCAGATGTAGGACAGCCTCATTGTATTCGAGTTGAAAATGGGGTGATTGCCGCTAATGAGGCTTCCCTTGCATTCTTTTAAGCTTGATATGTTTGTCCTATCTGGTTCAAACTTGTCTCAACTCTAGTTGGGGATGGTTAGCTCTTCTTGTACTTCTTCCCAAAACGCCGTAGGATAATTGCATTGTCATTGAGCCGCATGTGTCCTGGCAGGCTTGCAGGAAAATGCAGCGCATTCATGGGTGTTAGATTTGCTTGAATCCCAGAATTACAGATCGAAATCTCCGTAGCTAATTTGGCTTCTGGACACCGCGTTTGGGAATCCCCGTGGTACTGAATATTCCCAGCGGAACGGAAAATTCCAAGATTTCCTTCGTAGGCTTTGAGCAGAAACATTTGTGGTCATAGGGGCCACTGTATTCATGCAACGAAAGCGCTTGCATATTCGCCCTTTCTCGTACACATAATCGGTGTAAGAACAGGATCACAAATTACCACAAAAGTGAAAATAGTTATGGTCCAATGCTGATTGCCTGCAGAATGGACTACCCCTTTTAAATTGCCATCAACTCGTTGAACATTTGAAACCAACGGGGCGTTTGTAGCAGCTTCCGTTTTGCTTTGCATGGTGGACTGGATAGCCTGTATGATATCAGAATATTGCGTCGAGTCCTGTTACGAATTCGTGAGCTAATTTGCTTTATGGTGATTGGCATGCAACAACCAATATGGCGGTGCAACCAGCCCAGGTACATTGGGATTAGAGACGCGCAGCAAAGTAATTGTTGTACACACGGCACAATATGGGCATTATGCATCGTACCCCAATTTCCACAGTCATGTTGGTTGCGACAATTTATAAAATTTATCCGCTGCCCTCAAGGACAACGAAGAACACAAGTGTCTCACTAAAATGTGTCATGCAAGATGGTTGTTTGTCCGCATGCATACAAGTGACCATCCATCAATATGGGCGAGTCCTAATAATATATCCTTATCCGCGTTAGTCCTTGTATTGACAGGAGATATTCAACACTGTCTGTAGGGTTACCACACCATATTTCAGAGTTGTGGGCAACCACAGATCGTCCTTGGACAAGTAGCCTCTGGTTGATTGTGTTGATGCAATCAAGAAGGGCATTTTATATCTCAACCCTAGGAACGGAGGGCACCGCAGTGCCCTAATATAACATAACTTGCAGTGTTTCCTGCACCTATTCTTATCTAGGGAGAAAGCTCTTTATTTGTGTATGTCGTGTATATACTGCACCGTTTGCTTTTGTCGAAGGCAATTCTAAATGAAGAAAATACAATCAATCAATGTAGAACTTACTGATACAATATAGACAAGAAACCTTACCTTCAACATTGTCTTCACCAGCTTGCATATATGAAATACCTTGTTTGCCCCTATGCATTTTGCACCTTGCATTCTTTGTTAGGCTTGCAACCTCGAGCTGTCAACCAAGTACAGAGATCACACAACAAGTATGGCGCTCCTTTTTTCTTTCTGTCCAGCTGCAACCAATTTCAATTATTCAACATGACAGTCATCAAAGAGGTTTGCAAAACCTTTTTGCTCAGAGTATGTTGCTTAGACAATAGTGGAGCACCAATGGAACGCTTGTCACAATTGCAGCACAACTAACTGCATTATGTTGTTATAAGATTTGTGCCTAAATGGGAGAAACAAGCCAATCCCTAAATGCCTGCAATCTATACCTGGTAAACTGAAGGAAAGGCCCCAAATTGGAAGTTTATATCACCCATGTTTTCACTGACGAATATATACGAGATTTAATGGGCTTGTGTATTTTGAGATGAACGCTTCTGGTCATGGGACGAGGAATGGAAACAAACGCTTACTAACCACACGTCACACCTAATCTACACATGCGCAATACACTTAGTTGAAAACTTTAAAAACTTGCCCCATGTCCTTTAAAAGGACAAAATTTGTTGATCTCCAATATTGGTTTTTGCCAACTTCATGGTATCGTTATCCACAGTGATGCCATGGGAGAGCCATTCTCATTAGGTGGGATGTGTTGCATGCAAAATGCTTTCATCCGAGTGTCCTTCTTCTAGCCTCGGCATAATTGAATACAATGTAGGCATTTTGCTTAAACCAGTTTTTTTTGTTTGTCTTTGGGGATTTCACATCTTATTTAGGCTTAGTCTCCCATGTTGACAATAGCCTAGGTGTGGAGACTGTCACAAACTGGCAAATGATATCTTGCAATGTATGCCATAGACAGATATCTCTGGCCCTTCAATGTAGGACTCCCCCCTTGTGGGGCCTTCAAGGGGGACAGTGAATCACCCATAGTTTTTATCTTTCTGTAACATCTCAATATATGGTGGGTGACTCACATTGTGGTTAAATTCCCCTTGGGTGACCGATGCCCTTTCCACGGGGGGAATTGATTATGCCCCTTTCCCCATAGTCATAGTGTGACTTGTGGCTAGATGGAGTGACTAGCGTTAACTAGATTCTGGCAAGGTAACAAGAGACAGTTAGGTAGGTAATGGTGATCTCAACACCGGTTTGGACAAAAAGTCCAAATAGAAATTTGCCAATGATAATTGCCAACTTGGAAATTTG